GTCTCTTTAACAACAAAAATGTGATTCTACATGAAGACCTGGAGGAGGGAGTATATATTGGATATTTCAGCTGGTTTTGAACTTTCCACAGACGATAACAATGTATGCAGGCTGAAAAAATCATTGTATGGGTTAAAACAGTCTCCAAGAGCATGGTTTGAAAGATTCACCCAAGGTATGTTGAGGTATGAATGTCATCAAAAGTCATGGTGATCATACTTTGTTTGTTAAACACTCTTCCCACATAAAGGTGATTACACCCATTGTGTATGTTGATGATATTATACTTACTGGTGATGATGTAAAGGAGATGGTGAAATTAAAGGCATAATTGGCTCAAGATTTTGAGATAAAAAATTTGGGAAGTTTGAAATATTTCTTAGGCATTGAGGTTGAAAGATCTAGACTTAGCATATTCATTTCACAGCGAAAGTATATGCTTAATCTACTTAAGAAGATAAGTATGGTATGGTGCAAACCTGTATATACTCCAATCAAGCAGAATCAAAAGTTGAGAGAGAGTGTTAATGATACTCATGTAGATAATGGTCGATCCTGAAATTGGTAGGCAAGCTCATTTATTTGTACCAAACTCGTCCAAATATAGGCTATGCAGTCAGTGTGGTAAGTTTATGCACTCACCTTGTGAGTCTCATATAGAGGCGGTTCATCAAATTTTGAGGTATATTCAACTAGCACCAAGTAAAGGGCTACTTTTACCTAAGCATGATCATCTACATGTGAAAGTCTATTCAGATGCTGATTAGGCAAGATCTGTTGCAGATAGAAGATCAACATCTAGATACTATACTGTTGTAGGAGAAAATTTGGTATCATGGTATAGCAAAAAATAATCGATTGTGGACAGATCTAGTGCAAAGACAAAATTTAGAGCTACGACTCACGGTATTTGTGACTTGTGACTGAAATCCATATTAGAGGAACTTTGTTTTAATTTTAAAGAACCAATGAGATTGTACTGTAACAATAAGGCGGCAATCAACATTGCTCACAATCCAATTCAGCATGAGAAAACCAAGCATGTAGAAGTCGACAGACATTTCATCAAGGAAACATTGAGTACTGACTTGATTCGCACTCCATTTGTGAAGGCGGGGGATCAGCTTGCAAACATCTTGACAAAAGGGGTAACTCGTAAAGTGTTCTACTCAATCCTTCGTAAGCTGGTCATGTATGATATTGTTGCACCAGCTTAAGGGGGAGTATTAGAAGCTATTGAGTCTCTTATTTGTATTTATTGCTATGAATGATACTTTTGTCCTTTTGATAGTTGAACTAATATAAGTGACAAAGGGAAAGAACCGTAAATCTCTCTTCTCCTCGTGCTTGGTTTAAAAAGTTCATCACCACACGACTAGCATCCCTTCACCCAGTTCCAGGTCGAATGTAAAGGAAGTGAGGACTATCCAGGAAGTAATGTATGGGTTGGTCTTTTGAGATGGTTAGGGCAATGGTACTACTTTTAGTAATGTTTTTAAACTACTTTTGCAAAAGACTTCTTATCTTTAGGAAAAACATATTAGTTATCATGCCTGTAATATGCATAGACTTGGACATACATATTTATTTTGGGTTAATCTTTTGAGTAATGTATTCTAATTGCTTTTGTGGATGGGTTGGCCTTATGACTTATTGACGTAGGACGAAAGAAGAAGAAAATAAGAGAATAGAAAAAAAAAAAAGATACCGAACTCTTGCAAGGATTAGGTCAAGAAACATACAAAATTTTTTACAGAGAAACAAATTTTTATTATATCACTCTCTAATAAAATAGTTGAAATTACACCATTATTTATAGGTCAAGTTTCTTACCAAAATAAAAATTATTCTCCTACTAAAATTCTAAAAAAGTTTTATAATCGAACTCTTATACTACTAAAACTCTATAATAATTTTCTAATCAAATTCTAACTGCTACTCATATTCAAACAAATACTCATAAATCAAATAATAATAATAAAACTACTAATTACACTTCCTTTTGAACCAAAAATTCTTAGTCTTTTGCATAGGCTTCCAAGGTCGATTGTATTGATCCAACCAACCAATGGTTGCACCATCATTTATTTTTTATAAGGTGTTGTGCTTGCTAATGCCATTAAATTGGATGGCTAATATTGCTAGTTTTTGTTGTTGTGTAACTAACTTGTTTTCAGTGAATTAGTATATGTTTAGTGGACGACAAATGGGTGTGTATAGGACATGGAACAAGTGTCATATGCAAGTAAATAAGTACCCTGGTGCATTGTACAAGTCATATAACTTGTATCATGCGGCTTAAAATGTTTTGCGCATGTGTATTGAGCAAGAAGATGGTGCAAGGGAGGTGTAACCGGGCTGTCCATCCGGAGCAACAATTGGGAAATCAATTTTTGGAAGATGCAATGGACCTTCCGCGGGCTGCACCTATAGTTGTTGACGACCGTGTTATCATTACCAATGTTGTGAAAAGTAAGCTTAAGCGAGAAGCGAAGCGAGCCTTGGTCACCTTGAACAACCCCGGCGAAGCGAGGTTAAGTAAAGCGGGAAAAAAGTGAGCCTAGGCGACGAAGCGAAGAAACGAGCCGGACGAGAAAAGCAAACGCTTGATTGCCCTTTTTTATTATTTCCTCCTCCTTCTCCTCCCTTAACATTAATCAAACCCTAACAGAGATGATGTTATATGTATGAAGTAAATTAATTGATTCAGCTGATAGTATCATAGGACAATCAATATTGTTATGATTAAATGATGTTGAATGCTATATTTTGTTGTGAATGCTCCTGTTAATCAATTTGCTTAGTTATCAAACTGATTAATCAATTTGCTATATGCTCTATTTGATTAACCAATTTGTGAGTGCTCTGTTTAGTGATGATATTAATCAATCACGGTGAAAGTCGAACCCCCATTTACTAGCTTTCCATTTAGATGACGTAATTATGTCAATTGATTATTTTTATAATATAATAATGTTCAATATTTAATATTTTGTCTATTTAAAATATGTAGATATTTATTATTTTGGTTGCATTTAAATATTTTGTATTTGTAAATTTAAAACTTGAATATTTAAGAGTAATCAAAGTATCAAACTATAATATTTGCTTCTTTTTTATATTATTCACTTTGTTTTAATAAAACACTTACTTCGCTTCTCGCTTCTCACCTAGGCCCTCAAGAGACCGATTCACTTCGGTTCGCTTTTCGCCTTAAATAACAACGATCGTTACATGCCTAAAGTATGTTGTCATCCTTGTGTTGGGTATGGTGCTCACACATAATATCTACTTCTTTTTGGGAAGAATTGCGTGAACTTCTCTTTCCTTGCATCATGTTTTTTCGCCGATTTATTACCATGTATTAATGTTGGGAGAATACTTTTATGTGGGCTACATGTACCGATGTGTTTTGGTATTGTATGAATATTATGTTACCCCTATGGTAACGAGATGCATGAAAGTACACTGTTGTATATATTCATTTTAGCAAATTTAAATTATTTTCTCATATAATTTACTTGTTCCTCGTTTTGTATGTTACTTACCTAACAAATCGATAATGGAATTTTAGACAAGTACTTAGAAATGCTGGTTCCAAAAATTATTGAGGATAAGACTCAAGTGTTGCTTAATACACCTGTGGAGTATAAACAACGAGGTGAAATTCCATCACAAGAAAAGTACACAAAAGAGATGTTCAATGAATTGTTAGCATTGTTGTGTAGGAGAATGCCAGAATTTAGCATGAAGCTTAAGGAACTCGTGAGGCTAGTTCTCTTCCGGAATGAGTATTATTTCACCATCACTGAATTATTGAATACAACCAAGTTTTTTAGGACCCAGACATGAAATGTATTGGGGGAGGTTCATTCAATGGAGATATCGACTATTTAAGGGTAAATGTTGTGCATTGAAAATATGTTATGGGCTGCCAATTTTACCTCCTTTGCATTGCGGTCGTACTTAATCATTTTTTAACTCAAATATGCAGGAAACAAGTTCACCAACAAATACTGTATCAAGTCATGCCCATTGTTTGACAACTTTAAGGAGATTTTCAACTCGATAGAACCGACTTCTAGACAAGATTTGGTTGAAAGTGTCGATTCCTCATCGAGAATTATTCGTGAAAATGACGTAGATGTTATTGTCATTGACTAGTTTCTTACTAAGTTGTGTGTATGCTTATGCTTTATCGGACTCCCCACAAGCCATTTTAGTATTTGTGTATGACAACTTGTGGGGGTAAAAAAAATTTAACCTCCTATGCAAAAAAAACGTATTACAATGTTGCCGCCATTTTGTTTACTCTTTTGAAGGCAACTTATAAACATGGGTAGGAAGTGTGACTTGTGCCTTTGATTTTGTATGTATGTAAGGCAAAAGCAAAATTGAGTATTCAAGTGGCTCATATTTTGTCTTTTATGCATGATACAATATTTGCTTACGTTATATTTGGAAATGCATATTTTCAGTGTATAAAAGATTTTATATGGAATGAATAATGGTATTGATATTTAGGTATGTAAGTGAATTTTTATATTTTTTCAAATGGATGTTATAGTTTGGAAATGGTTGTAAGGCTAATTTGTAATGCAAGCATGAGGTTGGATTGGATTGGCTAAAGGGCATAATAGTCAAAACATACCCTAATAATACTCCTTACATCACCTTTGTCCATGGCCCCCACAAAAATGAAAAAGTATTTCCCAAACATTGGCTAGGATAGGAATGTCGCATAAAGCTGGATTAAGGGTTGGGTGGGTTTGGCTTAGATGGGAAAGGATAATTTTTTGATATCCTATCCATTCAAATCCCATTATCCAAACATACACAAAGTGCACTCGCTAAATTAGGATAACTCAAAGGATATAGAAAATAAATTTCATTTTAAACCATTCCACAATTATTGTGCACGCAAGGCAGTAATTGCTGGTCCGAAGAAGAAAAGCAAAGCAAATGACGCAGGCCCAAAAGTAAACCAAGCGTTTGGATTCCTACCAAAAGTAAACCTTATATCTAGAAGTCATGCTTCTTGGTCCAGTCAAAATTGAATATTGTTTACAAAGGAAGTATGATATAAGGTAAGAATTAGTACCTACAATATCTGTGCTGGAGACCCCTTCAGTGCGTTTGATCTGCTTGTAACGACCAGCATTTTTGGCCAAGGCATAAGCATCAGTTCCATCTGGAAGTAGGCAAGGATCATCACCGTGTATAATGTAGTCAATCTTATGCTCGTTGAACAGACAGTTCATAAACTCTGCCGTAATTGCATAAGGAGCATTGGCAATGACGTCATCCACCCACTTCAGGCCACTAACTAGGACCAGCCTGAAAAGGACCTCAAATTAGATCACAAGTACAAGAATCATCTGCATGGAACAGTCCCATTGAATTAAAATACTCAAAAGGGTGATCTGTCGACAAGTCAAATTGCACAAATAACTGCTAGTAAATTCTAGTTCAATTCGCTAATTTGAGTTCTGTAAGAATAACATATTTCAAATATTGCAGCTTATACTTAAAAGGTTGTCTATTAGGATAGAAACAAGGGTATAAGTCACAAACAACCAATTGCAGGTGTACATTCCAAACGCAACATCACCTAAAATCAACTAATGCAATACAATACCATTTATCCGTAAGAGTCAAGATACCAGTTAGATACCCCACCACTTTAGGCCAAAGTTCATTTTGATTGTTTAAGGAAAATTCTACCTTTTGGACCTACTTGTCTTGAATAATTTAGTCAACAAAATCGATAGGTTTTTAAGAGAGTAACATTATTGGCTATACATGAAGAACTATTGCCAAGGTTGGTGAACCTGAGTAACCAATAGCAGACATTAGCTTTCACATAATCTATTGTTCTCAACTGGAGCATTGCATCATTAATCTTTTCCCTATTTCCTCACACGGCATATCAAATTGACTGTGTACCGTAAAATACTCTCAAATTCTAAAGCATAGACAAACGAATAGGAATAGCATACAATAGAGGGAAAGGAAAAAGGTATAATCAGACAAAACACATCAACACAATGAAACTTATGGCATGTTTGGTAGGAGAGATGGAAAAATGGAAAGAAGGAAAATTACAAGGCTTGTTATTCCATCCTTAGTGGAAAGAAAAATTCCTCCCTTTTTAGTTTGGTAGGATGGAAGGAAAATTGGATGGATCAATTTTCTGTTGTTTAATATTAGAAGAAAAGAGGAAGGAAAAGAAAAGAATATATCTTTAAGTTACCATTTTATCCTCAAGATATACGCTGTAACGTGGAATCAATATAGATCCCATATAGTGAAGACATGATACTGTCCATCCAAGTGATCATGGAATGCTTAAATAGGCTGTCACATTCTCATCCATGGGATTACAAATAGCACACATGTCACGGCATCTTGAGTCCTTGACAGCCCAAACAGTCGACAAGTGCCCACTCCCATCAACACAACAGGCTTTTGTCTGTTCCAGTGTTGCACAAATCCCACAAGCTAGACACATGTTTGTCTCCTAAAGTTTGAAATTGTGGCTGACCACTTCGAAGTCAACAAGCTTTGCATCAATTCGTCATGCCTGACTATCGCTTCCATCCAACTAACTTTCTGTTCTGGACGGCTCTTTCTTTCTCTCCATTTTCTGCCCAAAACTAGTGGTAAACATTTTGGTGGGCAGAGCTAGAAAGATCTCCATCCATTTTCCTCTCCCTCCTATTTTCCTTTCAAACCAAACAATGAAAAATCACCCTTTCTTTTATAGGAAACCAAACATTTTATTAATAATGAAAAGAAATTACACCAACAAAAAAGAGGACAGACAAGAAGTCTAAACCTCTATTAACAAAAGATGGAAAACAGTGAAACGGAAGAAGGAATCAAATGACAACCAAATAATGGTGTCCCTAAACTATAAGTCACAAACAGCCCTCCATTAGGCAAAAAAAAAAAAAAGTTTGTATTCCTTCGAAGTCTGTAGTAACTGAGGCCATAACGAAGACAAGAAGGATGTACAGTTCCATAAACCTTTGACCATATCATAATTATATTCAAAAATCCGAGCCTTCCTCTCCAACCAAATGACCCAAACCGTTGCAAACATTTCACAATTCCATAGTGTAACTCCTTTAGGATGTTTCCCAAATCCTTGAAAATCCTTCACAAACAAAGTATAAAAGGGCCAAGGAGCGACCTAGCTCAATCCTTCCGATGAAAACAACTTGTTCCACAAAGATAAAGGCATAGGGCAATGCAAGAATAAATTATTGATATTTTCACCAATCGCCACAACACATAACACAGTACTGTGGAGAAGACAAATTTGAGGTCTTCTCCTTTGAAGCATATCACTAGTATTAATCTTACCATGCCCCAACAGTCCATGCACACACCTTCACCTTATTAAGGCACCTTAGCCTTCCTTAGCCTTCCATATCATCAATGAGGGAGAAAAAATGGAACAAGATGGATTGTTAATCAACAACTTAGAAAAAGGATATGCAAAAAAATACACTAGAATACTCAAACGCCCACCTTCTTTGTCAATAGAATCATAATTAATGTGTACATTATCAAGCAAAGAAAGAAGAGACACCATGTCAAGAGTATCCCTAGCATTCAAATTTCTACAAAAACCAAAATCCCAAGATAAAGAAAGTGAACTCAAACGGATCCTAGAGATGATAGGCACATTGTGAGTTTGAGATAGTTGGTAAAGTCGAGAAAACAAACATGACAAAGAAGATTCCCTCAGCCAAACATCCTCCTAAAACCGAATTCCTTCCCCATTACCAACCACAAAGCTGACTTAAAAGAAAACCGAGGTAACCCCTCGTAAATAAATTTTCATGGGCATCAAAAACACCCTTTTTCCACCCAATTAGTATCCCAACTATTAGCATGTAACCCACATTTGCTCTTGATAAACGAATGCTATAGAGAATCTTGCTCCAAAGAAAATCTTCAAAGTCATTTACCAACTAAAGCCACATTTCTTACTTTGCTTAGATCTAGAGACCCATTTTTTCCTTTCAAATTGCCAACTGCGAGACTTCCTTTTTCCTTAGATCTAGAAAACACCTCTCAACTCATCAAATAGTCCTTTTTCCCTTCTTCCCTTCCTTCTCATAAGAAACCCCTCATTATTTTTTCAATGAGCAACCTTACTTGGCATTTTGAAGAGAGATTAGAAATAGGTAAGAATGCTAGATAAAACTAATTGGATTAAAGTTAGTCTACCCTTTGGATACAAAAGCTCTCATCCATCCATCTAACATTTTCCCTATTCTTTCAATGACAAGGTCCCAATAAATCATAGCTAATGGATTACCACCCAAGTAAGTCCAAGATACTTAAGGACCCCTCTCCCAACGAACACCCTAAAGTAAGGTCAACCTATTTGGAATTTATACCCACAGTTAATTTTTTTTCCATATTAACCATCAATCCTGAAACAATTTTAAACACAATTTTTCTTAAAGTTCAAAAACTTTTCCTCCTCTCCCGATGAAAAAAAGATTGTATCATCTGCAAATTACAAATGTGATACCGAAATCCTATTTCTTCCAATCACAAATTATTCCACAAGACCACATCTCTCAGCTCTCATAACTAATCTACTTAAATCATGTGCTACTAAAGGGAAAAGCAAAGGCAATAGAGGGTCACCTCATCTAAGCCCCCGTGGATGCTTTGAATCCTTCTTGGTTTACCATTAAGCATGACCGGGAAACCCTAATCCATCTTCTCTACTTACCCCCAAAAAACCACCATTTCTATCCCACTTTCTTTCCCCTCTTCTCCATCCATTTATTTTTCTTCATACCAAATAGCTCATTAGCCAGTTTTATAAAGATTGAAGTATTTTGTAGAGCAAAAAAAACGGATAAGAATCTATAACTTTGAAGAGTAGAGGTAATAATAACTAATTCCCAAAGATGACATAATTGCATAAAAAGAGTCAAAGTAGTGGTTGAGTCACTTCTTCTGTGGTCCCCGTATACGGGCCTACTGACCCAATCTTGAAATGGGTTGGTAGGCAGGCGAGACAATAACATTTCTTCACACAAAATCTACGCATGATGCTACAAATATTTCAACTCATATGTTAGTCCAAAGCCTCAAGGGGTTTGGTTGATGTTATAAAGTGTAAGAGGCAAAAACAGATGTACCTCCTACAAAAGTGAAAGATTGATATTTCTGGTAAAAGTGGGCTATGAACTTGATCTCCTAGTTTTCTCTTCATATAAAATGAACAAACTACCCAAAATCGAAGTGCTTCGATCGAAAGCACTGATACTTAAGTCAATAATAGAACTAAGTGAATTACAAGAGAACAAGGAAAGTTTAGCACACCTTTCACCTTGACTCCTTATGCCTTTTATAGAGCTTTGCTCAGCTAGGATTTCTATAATTTTTGATTCAAGGTGATACACCTTCCTTTAATCAGGTGGTTCTGTTCAGGAAGTTACTGAGATCTCTCCAGCAATTCCTTCAACCGAGTATTTGATCATGCCCATTCATTGACCAAAATGCTTGAATTATAGGCATCTCTTTACTGCTTTCAACAACCTGGTCATGATGAGGATCGAGCTTATTCCTTCCTTTTCGCCAAACAGCTCAACGAGAATCTGATGACTGAGTTTAATGATGTCTTTCTCATGTGACTAGTCTCGCCACCCTCACATGGGATCATTTAATGTGGTTACACGTGTCATAATGGGAGCAACCCTCTTCATTTGCCCCCAAGAAATGTGTGACAGACGCTCTTCGTCTGTCAGTCAATTCATGCCCCCAGATCCATCATTGTGTGTACTTTTGAGACATCCCCCTTGTTTTGGCGGCTAGTTCTGCATTTAAATATTGTCTCTTGGACTTCGCTCTCTTCCTTTTAAACGAGTTTTTTCTGTCTTCTTCTTACACAACCCTCTTTTCTTTTTGCAAACTATCATCTACTTTCTTTGTTTTCTTCTTGTGCTATGGCTCCTTTAACACCTTCTGAGATTCTTGCTTTCAAAGGTAAGTATAACATCCCTGACGATGTCGATGTTCAAGTTGCTAGTAGTGATGAGCCTATGATAGGTACCAAAGAGAGCATCTCTATTAACACAAGAGCGATCACAAAAGATGGAGTTCACTATTCTCTTGACCCTCTTCTTCTCTAGGTACTTTCTGCAATGAAGTTTTGCCCAATACAATATTGTCCCAACTTTTTCAGAATCGTCATGGGGGTTGCTACTCTCAACAGGTTGCTAAACAAGAGCTTAGGCCTTTGGAAAATTCTATACTGCTACATTATCAAGTCTACTGGGGACAACTACTACTTGGCTATTAGGAAGAAGGACCGCTACCTGGTAACTCACCTCCCAAACTCAAACAAGGGCCATGAGAATGATGTGATTTTTGTTTCTAGGAACTGGGAGTACACAGCTGGTGCCACTCCCTCCTATCGATGCCCATATGAGGAAGACGCACCAGGTGATTGTTGTTTTTACTTAACTTCTTGTTACTTTCTTTTAACATTTTTACTTATATTGCTTTATTTTTTGAAGGTGAGACTATGAAGGGACGGATTCTTGATCGGGCTGTCCAGATGGAAAAGCTGAAGAAAGTGTTGTCCTACAATGACTTACTTTTTTGCCGTGCTGCTCACACTTTGCTCGGGTACTCTCCCACATATATGTCTTTTATTATTGTTCCACCCCGACTCAACTGTGTTCTCGCCGAAGACCGCCAAGCCATCCAATATGCTCAGAATCAGACTCCCCGTTCCCGCAAGCAGCCATTGCCTGACTCTTCTGGAAGAAACTGGACAGTCAAAAATTTTCTTGATTTTTTATCAACTGTTGCACCATCCATTCCTATTGACTCTACTGCACCAGTTGATCC